TTATCAAAAATGAAAGTTTAGAATTTTACAGTGATATTTATTCCATGGTTCATTCTCACCACATGGCCAGCCTTGTTTGGACCATAACTGACATTAAAGCAGTACTTTTCTGTTTTCCCCTGCCTCATTTTTGCTGAAAGGATAATCTTAGGTTGTGTCTTCAGTAAATGCAACTTACATTATGTTTGAGAAAATTAAAGGTTGAGGCCAGAGAACTGTTTAGTGGAAGAAAACTAAAGTAAACAGCTTATGGACTATAATAAAATGAATGAATGGACACTGAAAACTATGAATTCCCAAGCAACAAACAAAAAAACAAAAGATCAAATTTGATGTTTATGTGTGCTGGTGATCATCCACCAATCACATTATGTGAGCAGGTCAGTTCAGATGTAACAAGACTTGAAATGTAGGCTATACATGATATGATGTTGAATGACATGTTGGGCTATATTTAAAGTTCTTCAAAAATTGCCCACTTTCCACGGCTCCCGTGTTATATTTAAATATAACAGGCTTATTTACAATGCCCTTTCGCAGGACAGTCTAATGGTAGCTGTAGCTCTTACTCTCACTGAAAAACTGGGTTTAAATGCCCACAAGAAAATGTGCTACAAAACTATTACATTCTCTGATTTTGTTGAAACATTATGCATTATACTTTTCCTAATGTTTTATTTGCTATTATTTTTGTATTCTCTCTATACAGGCCCTTCTTAAAAAAGAGCTCCAACTCTCAAAGAGGCTAGTTTTTTTAAATGATGTATCTAAAAACAATAGTGATGCTAATAATCATAGCCACAATGATTACAAATGGTGATGAAAAGCCACAAGCACAGTAAACAAATAAATGTGTGTCTGGATCCTATTGCACATGAAGTTTGGCCTTTCTCTCTCTCTTGCAATCTGTTAAAATCTTAGTAAATTCCAAACCGATAACCAATAACTGTTTAAACAGATATGGTTTATGGCCACTTTTAAAAAGAGTTGAGGGTGCAGTATGTCTAATTTGTGAACAGAGGGCAGTGTTGCATCATATTTTGAAAAGGTACATTTTCTTTGCAAAGTCTCACAGTGTAGGTTTAACAATAAACTTGCTTTTTGAAAGAGAATAGTAATAGTATTCCTAACAGTAATCCTACTACTTGTAATTGATGTTGCCATTTCTTCCTGACCACAACACTGTTATGGGACTTGTATGTGCAGTGGCAAGGGTGAGGTAGGAAGCAGGTGTTTTCAATCAGAATCAGAATCAGAATACTTTATTGATCCCTGGGGGAAATTATTTTTTGTTACAGTGCTCCATTTTAAACCAACATTAAGACAAGACAGACAATACGCTAACTAAGAATAGTACAATATATACATATATATACATACATACATACATAAGTCACTTATAAATAAATATTTGGAAAAGAAACATGTGTAGTTGTAGCAGCAAACAGTGTGTTAAGTGGATGCGTTGTACAGGGAGATGGCCACAGGCAGGAATGATTTCCTGTGTCGTTCAGTGGTGCTTTTCGGTAATCTCAGTCTCTCACTGAACGAGCTCCTGTGACTGACCAACATGTCATGGAGTGGGTGGGAGGTGTTATCCAACATTGTCTTTATCTTGGACAGCATCTGCCTCTCCGACACCACCTTGAGGGAGTCCAGCTCCATCCCCACAACATTGCTGGCCTTACGGATCAGTTTATTAAGTCTGTTGGCATCTGCGACCCTCAGCCTGCTCCCCCAGCATGCAACAGCATAGAGGATTGCACTGGCCACAACAGACTCATAGAAAATCCTCAGCATTTTCTGGCAGATGTTGAAGGACCTCAGTCGCCTCAAAAAATAGAGACGACTCTGGCCCTTCCTGTAAAGTGCTGTGGTGTTTTTAGCCCAGTCCAGTTTATTGTCAATGTGTACTCCAAGGTATTTATAGTCCTCCACAATGTCAACACTGACCCCCTGAATTGAAACAGGGGTCAAGTGTTTCCTGGTCTTCCTGAAGTCCACGATCAGTTCCTTGGTCTTTGCCACGTTGAGCTGCAGATGATTCTGCTCACACCACGTGACAAAGGAGTCGACCACAGCCCGGTACTCTGTCTCATCATCCCTGCTGATGCATCCAACCACCGCAGAGTCATCAGAAAACTTCTGAAGATGGCAGGTCTCTGTGCAGTGGCTGAAGTCTGTGGTGTAGAGGGTGAAGAGGAAGGGGGAGAGGACAGTCCCCTGTGGTGCCCCTGTGTTGCTAATCACCTTGTCAGACACACACTGTGGGAGACGTACATATTGTGGTCTTCCTGTCAGGTAATCAACAATCCAGGACACCAGAGAAGCATCCACCTGCATCGCTGCTAACTTATCACCCAGGAGGGTCGGCCTGATGGTGTTGAAAGCACTGGAAAAGTCAAAAAACATGACCCTCACAGTGCTCGCCGGCTGGTCCAGATGGGTGTAGACACGATTGAGCAGGTAGATGATGGCGTCCTCTGTTCCGAGACGATTTTGTATGGGGTGTCAAAAAATTGAAAGAATGAAGACCAACAGCGCACCTCAGGAAATATTAAACAAACATTGTATTATTTTTTGTTATATATATCATATTGCCTATTTGTAGTAAAAGCACGCAGAGTTGCTGGTAAAGAAAGGGGCATGGCAGATTAATTTAACTAGTTTATTTGACAAAGCAATAAACCTTGAATAAGGTTAGATCTGCAAATAAAGAAGAAAAACTCAACTAAAACCCCATAAAAACTCATAGAATTCGATTATCAAAATATTACTTTACTATAACATTGTAATATGCGGTACTGTGCAAAAGTTAGGCAGGTGTGAAAAAATGCTGTATGCAAAGAATGCTTTCAGAAATATAAATGATTGTTTACTGGCCCCAAATGCATTCTGGAGCAGCACAAGGACCCCAAACATACAGCCAAAGTCATTAAGAACTGTCAGTATAAAGAAGAACAAGAAGTACTGGAAGTGATTGTATGCCCCCCCCCCCCCCCCCCCCCCCCCCATATTTCACTTCAAACTAAGACAGTATCCTTCATATTTATGTTCTTACATCACTCTCTGCATCAGCGTTTGGACCTCACCAAAGACGCCTCGCAATTACATGGCTCTCCAGCTTACTGAAAGGAAAAACTAAACAAAAACAAATTAACTCTAAAGAAAGACATGGCTACTCAGTTAAAAGATGAAACACTTGTGTGGCTACTACATTAAAATACACAAGCTAGAATTTATTTAAAAAGGCCTAAACAGGAAAGAGCAGGGGAAACATATTTTTAAAAAATGGAGAAAAATGATTAGTAACTGAGGACCACACTGCTATAGACTAGAGACTTAATGCTGTGATCCTCACTGCTGCCAGGCACTGGGAAGCCAAACACAGGAAATAAAAATTTGGTCCAAAAACACCAGGATCAGACAATGACATAAAGAAAGTCACTAATGTGCTCATTCTGGTACCATCCTTAACTGGAATAAGGCCAAAAAGGCAAGAACAGGCTGAATAATGGGTGCATAGGACAATGTAAGCATTAGAGGAGTGAGGGTTGATGGTGCGTTCAAAAACACTACTCGGGTGAGGAACATTTTTCACTAAGAGTTCTCTACTACACATGCACAATCTGGAGATTCAGCAGACACCATCACTCTCTCCTTTTTCCATTAAAAGCAACATGAGACCAAGATACACGCAAAAGTAAGTACCACTGAAAACCCAAGTGGCTGTCAAAGTGAGCATGCTTGTTTCTGATAATAATGCCCCAACAACCAGACTGAGATCAGAATACTCACTGCAGTCTCACTTTGCAAGCACTCATTAGGGGGACTGTTTTGTTTTTTTATCTGCACAGAGGTGTGACTCATCCACACTGGAAAAAGCTGTAGAGAAGGGCAGTGGAGCCAGAGGAAAAGGGATGGAATGACAAGAAAGTGGATGTAATGTGATAAGGTTAAGGAGCGGTGGAAAACAGGACAGTGAGGTGAAGAGAATGGGCAAAACATCAGATTTCAGGCCAGGTGCTCTCACAGACCAACTTTGTTGTGTATCAACCTAGACAGACAATGGAGAGGTAAAATGCAGAGGATCGGGGGCTTTATTACTGAATCATTACCTCTTGTGGATCCCTGGGGGACAGACAAAAGCCACCCTCCAGCCTACAGTCTTTTATTAAGACTGTAGAGGGGAGATCTGAAGAACAGGGAGGTCTTTTTTGTGGTGGTAATAAACACTACTGTTTTTAATTCACTCTGCAGCTAAGTCAGTGACTGACTGGCTGGTGTGAATTGTCTTCTGTTCAGTCATCTCTATTCATCTGTCATTCTCTGTCTGCCTCCCTCTCTATCTCTGGGCATCTTTTTCTTCACTCAACACTCAATCTTGTTTTAGAATTCTGTGTCTAAAGTATCTCTGCTCCCTCATGGAGCCATTGCTGCGTCTCAGCCAGAGTACGGAGCCCTCTCTGCAACTAAAGACTTCCTGTTTCCCTCCAGTGTAACTACATCCTGGCACACTATCCACTATGTGATTCCTTATTTCTCAGAAAGCTGTGTAACATCAAAGAGAAGATAGATGGCTGGTGCAGCACAGTGGCGACACATTTCATCACGCTCCTCGGAAACTCCTCAGATATAAACCCCCCCTAAATGAAAGGAAAAAGATTGCACAGACTTTACTTTTAGGGCACATGACACAGCTCTTTTCTGTGTGTACTTGTTTTGCAAATGCAAAAGTTAAAGTTATTCGTGCACTGTAGGAACACAGAGGCTCTTTTCAGCAAGCCTTCCTTGGCTGTCAGGCGAACAGCGTTGCTCTGTGCTGCAGGAACTGAAGTGTTAAACAACCTCTGCTCGCATATGTCCCTGCTCACAGTCTATCGGGCAGTTCTTAAAACACATTTCAGAAGGAATAGAGTGTAGAAAAGCCTTAAAGAATTAGTAAGGAAAAGACTGAACTGTTAATGTTTTATATGATGTTTAATGGGTGTACTGGAGGCAATACAGGTATTATAGTTTTATCACAGAAAGAGTACCAAAACTAGAATCAATAAAACATAATTATAAACCAAAACATCCGTAGGCATAATGATTACGTGCATATAAATTTTAAGGCACTATTACAAAAATAATGCTTTATTTCAGGACGGGCTGTCATTCTTTAGTCTTTCCAGCTTATTGCAAGTATCCTCAAGTCAAGTGCTGTTACTCTTTGCTACATGTACCAATTTTCTACATGCATTTCTATTTTTTTGCACAATAAATAGATTTTTCTTAGAATTCATACTGGGAAACAAACATAGTGACTTTGGTGATGTATTTCCCCAGCTGCACTCGCCTCTCCAGCTCACTCATCTCCACCTCTGCCTCCAGAGTGGCAGGGCCCTGCACAGGGCTCACCAGCATCAGCTCGCCCGTGAGGCGGTCTGAGCGCTGCACTGTGAAGTGGCGGCGAACTGGCCTTCCGCCTAGCAGGGAGAAACGAAGGGTGTCACCTATCGGGCGCAGTGCTGACACTCTGAACATGACGCGGGGAGCTGACAGGTTGGAAACAACAGCCAAGTAATGGTAGGAGAAGGAATTTGGGGCCTGAGAGCACACCTTGTTGTCCACAGGGCAGGGGTTACGTTCACAGCGCCTGGAAAATAATGAGAAAGATGTTACTAAAAGAGAGATTTTAAAGAATTAGTTGTTACTATGCATCTCACACAAAAATAAGGATAATGCTCACGTAGGTGACGTTTTGACATATGTAGCATTAGGAATTTTGGGGCAGTCCACACGAACACACTGGAAACCACCATATGTATTAATGCACATCTGGTCCTTCGTGCAGTTGTTTTGCCTCGTAGCACACTCATCAATATCTGCCACAAAAGAGAAACACAAAACCCCCACATTTAGTTGGGACATCATTTAGGCTGCAACTCTTTGATTTGCCATTACTGAAAAGAAAAAGAGTCAAAATGAATAAAATTGTATTAAGTGTACTTGTAGACTCTACATTTTTGTATTACATTCCTCAGAATCTGCCTTTTGGAGGAATGCTTTGAGTACTTCTGAGTGCAAATTTGGCAAAAGAAAAAATCAAAACAAAAGTGATAGCAAAATATAAAGCAGGAAGAAGGACTGCTCACCTTTGCAACTGCGTCCGTCACGGGTCACGTTGTATCCCGCAGGACAGGAACAGCGATAGCCTCCAGGGGTGTTAACACAAGCGTGTAAACACAACCTCCCAGCCTGTCCGTTATGAAACAGCTCACATTCATCAATATCTAAAATGCATAACACACACAGACATGGCTAACAACCCATATGGAAACATCATAATATGAAAAATGTATAGTCTGTGTTCTACTAAAGCTGTTAGGTGTACCAGTGCAGGTGTAGCTGTCTCTGCCAGAGATGGTGTATCCTGGCTCACAGGTGCAGTGGGTGGTCCCCTGCACTATAGTGCACTGTGATGGGCGAACATGAGGCCCGGTGTTGGCAGCTGGTAAAGTGGATGCAGCAGCAGCTGTGGATGGGGAGGTGGCGGCAGAGGTGTTTGTCATGGTGACAAAGACTGAATAAGGAAGAGAAGACAGGTAAGCAATGCTGGTGTGTTGTAGAAAAGGTTTTCATAACCTGTTTTCATATTTTCTTTGCTGTAGCTTTGTATCTGCCCCAGGGATACGAGTTATTTATTTAGTCAGCTGACAATATATGTCAGACACTGATGTTGGTGTGCCGATGGTGATATGAGACAGTGTCAGTCACGCCTGCCCGTGTCAAATGGAATCCAAGAGGAGAGTCACTGGGTTGTATCGGTGGCAACAACATAAAGCCCTCACAGATACGAGTTTGATAGGTAATATTTAATAAGCTCTGTTCTTCTACAAGAACAAGACAGCAGCATGAGCTTAGTGAAGATATCTGAGTGTTAATATATTTGGATTTGTTTATTTTGCCAGTAAGGAATAAAAAGAAGCAAATGTTTGTGTAGAAATTCTGGTGAAATGTAATTTAGATTATTATTATTATTATCATTATTATTAGTATTTTTAGGGCAGCACGGTGGCACGGTGGTTAGCACTGTTGCTACACAGCAAGAAGGTCCTGAGTTCAATTCCACCATCAGGTCTTTCTGTGTGGAGTTTGCATGTTCTCCCTGTGTTTGCATGGGTTCTCCCAGGGTACTCTGGCTTCCTCCCACAGTCCAAGGACATGCAGTTTGTGGGGATAGGTTAATTGATAAATCCAAATTACCCATAGGTGTGAATGTGCGTGCGAATGGTTGTCTGTCTCTGTGTGTTAGCCCTGTGACAGACTGGTGACTGCAGTTACCCACACTATGTTAAATGGGGGTTGTGGGTGGGGAGGAATATGTTGTGTATGTTTAAATAGTGGGAGGTATAGTGGTTAGTGCTGTGGCCTCACAGCAGAAACGCTCTGGCTTTAAACCTGTTTGTCAGCCAGACTTTTCTGAGTGGAGTTTGCATGTTCTCCCTGTGCTTCATCCCACTGTCCAAACACATGTGTTTTAAGTAAGCGTCTAAATTGAACCTGCGTGTTCACAGCTGTCTCTCTCTCTCTCTCTTAGCCCTGGAAATCTGTCCACATCTACCACTCCACTCTCTTGGGTAAAGTTGGTGGATGTTTTAATGTAACGATTGGATGACTATCAAAAACATTACCAGACTTTCAAATCTCTCAGTAAACTATGAAACCATCTGTAACTGTAGAAATATTTAGATAGTGTGAAAAAGGAGATGAATTTAGTAAAACTGTTGGTGTCTACTGAATTTTAGTGCCTACACAAGCAAATGCCCAATGCAATCTCTTTCAAATGGTAAAGTATCACTACATTTCATTCATGTGTGTGGTCTGAGTATGCAATGTATTATACTTACATGTTGGCACAGGGCTTTGACAGGTAACTCCAGCCCAGCCTTTGGCACAGACACAGGAAAACTGGTTCACCTCATTAACACACGTCCCACCATTCAGACAAGGGGAGGATGCACACTCATTGATGTCTGAGGGAAAAAAGATATTAAGGTTATGTTTGAACTCTGTCCAGAGATACACACATGTATGCAACTCAATAGCTTTGATGCTTGAACATCACGGAACATTACATAATGACATATGCATGTGTGTGGAGACATATGAGAAAATACGGGAGCAAATGAGTTAACAGGAGGGGCAGCCAAAGTGTAGGGGATGCCACATCCTGATCAAACAGCCTTTGAGTTGTTATCTCAAAGTCAGCAAGCTGTCAAAGGACAAGGAGGCTGGAATATCGCATGTCACAGCATTCAAAAAGCTCTCTGGACAATGACCAAAGTACATAAAGAAATATGATCATGGGTCACATGTGAAATGTATCATCGTATAGAAAAATGTTGTCGGCATGTTTGATGCCCAGAAAGCAGAATAGTGCAAATAAAAGGGGGCAAGGAGAAGAGAGGTTACACAGAAGATGTTGACAAGATTGTAAAAGTGATCAGTGGGTTAGATAGCATGATGAGTGATGGTCAGAGTAATGAAGTGGAGAAACACTGGTGGGAGGAGGATTAGGAGGACGCAATGGAGAAAATGACCATCACAGCAAGGCCAGGCAGCAGAAGGCTCCTCTCTCACCTCGGCAGGTTGGTTGCTGGCTGCTCCAGGTCAGGCTTTCCTGACAAACCCTGCTCTCTGATCCCACGAGTTCATAACCAGGGTCACACAGGAAGTGAATCTCATGGCCAATGCTGTGCGATTTGCCAAGTTTCCTCCCATTAATGAGGGACTCCAGTTTGGGGCAGGTACCTAGAAATTATAAGAACATAACAGCAGAAATACTCTGATATCTAAGAATTTGAATAAAGTCTTTCTAACATATTTACTTACTGTTGATGGCTTTTGTGTTCTGCCTTGCAGCACTGCTCAGCAGTAAATTTATTTTCTTCTTTAGGTTGCGCAGACTCTGCATGTAGGAGGCTTCATGGGCTGACAGAAGCTTCTGGACCTGCTTCAAGGACCCTTGAATTTCTTGCCTGCTCGGACAGTCCTAGAATAATACAGAGCTACTGAATAAATTCATAAATGTTGAATATTTTAAGTCAATACTGATCTTCTAATTCACAAAGAGGATCAGAAAAACAGTTGCAACCATCTAAAAAAACCACGTGAGAAGGTTAGGCACGCTATATAATATTACATTGAAAATGACAGTTTCTTATTAAAAAAACAAAAAAACACCATCCTTGCTAAATATCTGAAAATGGAAAAGCAATTTATTTGACTCAGGACAGGTAAAATTTGTTGAGAGATGAAAGCACCACAAGCCAGTGATGCTGCTTCTATTAACAGTTTATTTATCTTCCTGTTCATTCAAGGACACGAATTCATTCAAAAGTCTTCAATAAAAGGATTTGGTTTTCTTTTTTGTGTCAAATGAAAAAAAATTCAAAATTCAAACTTCTAGTGCATTTCTGTAATGTTAAGTCATATAAATTGCACCTGCACATATTTCTGTGTGAATGCTATCGCAATGAGGAAAAAAAAATCTCTTCATCTAAATGAATAGACAAATGAATCTGCTCTACCTACTGCGCTATTTTACCCAGTGCACTGCAGAGGCTGATGTGCTCATATGAAGGAGTAAATCTTGTGGGGATCGGAGAATGTTTTGTCATCCCCCCCCCCCCCCCCCCCCCCCCCCCCCCCAGCTAGCTCCATACTGTAACTCAGTCATGCTGACAAGAAAGGCTCTGTGTGTAACACTTTCTTATGTGGTTCCAGGTGTGATGTTCTGCTTAGGTTTGAAGTTTTAACTACACGAGTCATTACAGAAATGGAGGTAAAAGCTTTCATTAGAGGGTAATTACTTGCTGATTTTTGACTCAACCAGTCATCTCCTTCCAGCGCCTTGCTTTCATTTAACAGGGTGTGAGCTCAAGTGAGTTGTACACACCTATTTTCAACCCATAACCGTTCCCTCATTACTCTCGTTGATTCAGCAGCATCAGTCCCCACCAGACCTCTGCTCTCTCACATGTTTTCAGACAACCAATTAGTGTTTTCATCCAGCAGCAGTTATGTAAGAAGAGTCAATATTTGTTGAAAACGCTTTTCTTATTTAGACTGAACTGAGGTTTGGAATGACTTCAGTCATTTTTGGTGCTGATGGCTGGTGTTTATCAGGTAGTTGTCAAAGGCCCCTTTCTGCCTGTGCTAGGAGATATTTCACATGGTGTTCATGTTAACTGGGTGATGTTACCACAGTCTGTAGGAGGCATGTGGTGCTGAAGCACAAAATTGCAGCACAGTTCTATTTAATAGATTTAGAGCCTAAATAACAATATGCTCTCACGCACATATGCAAGAGTCTACAGCATCACACTCACATTATTATGCACTTCTACAAACACATAATTGGCTGGCCATTTTTCAGTAGAAAACAAACAAACAAACAAACACATACAGGCACAGACATGCATGGCAGAAGCTGAAGAGAGCCATTCACAGCCAGATGCAGCGTTTTGGAAATGTTTTGCTGGTTTGCAGTGAAGCACAGCATAGATATAGTGAGTGAATTCAGCCACCGGAGCCTCTGGGATGTTGCTCTTGAGGCTTGCGTGCAAAGTAAGGGTGACTCAAGGTTTGCTCTGTGAAACATTTTTTGTGATGCCAAGAAGTACATTCACATTAAGATCTGCTCTGGACTTCAAAAGAAGTTATGCATGCAATTCTCTTTAAGCCATACATAATTCATGAAGCACATTTTAACCAATTCCTTTTGACATAAGAACTTTAAGTGGAATGACGTGATATAAGTTCAGGTACCCTGCTGCGACTAATTCCTTCATTCATTCAGTCAATAGTTAACAATTTTAGTTACATGCTTGCTTACCTGCCCCAAAGTAGGATGAAGCAAACAGAAACACAGTAAGGTGATGGCAGTCACAGGTGATGCAAACATGTTTCCACTAAAACCAGTCCAGTGTGCACTCACTAATCGCTTCTCAAATGTGTTAGAACTTGCGTGCAGTGTGAACTTTGTGCCGCCGGCTCCCAGAGTGTGTAGGAACTCCAGGTGAGAGAAGGACCACAGTTGGCAGTGGGAAAGCTGCCGCAGCTAAACGTTGTGGAATGTTGTTTACTCTTCAGTAGCCAATCAGCAAAGGAGAAAAATGTGACCACATTATGATCCCTTTTTACTTAATTTGGAGTGCACTTCCTCTCTGTTTAAAGCAGCTTGGTCTTGGAGAAAAGGTACAGTGAAGCTGTAACTTCTGCTGGAATAAAGGTGCTTTCCTGTTCTGTAATTAGACTGATTAATTAGATTGAAATAAAGACTGGTTTCCTTCCTTCCCTCCCCATCTCCAGCTGCCTCCCTCTTCCCGCTCCTCCACAACCACCCACACATGCAGGGCCTTGGAGTGGGGGTATGTCACCAGGGTGCAGAGGAGGCTACCCCCCCCCCCCCCCCCCCCCCCCCCTGTCCCTTTCTGGCTGCCTCTGCCTCAATTTTATCCCACAACTTAGACATTCACATTATTCACACTCTCATTACACATACATATAGGATCTTGGGGGTGGGCACAATCACGGAGTCCAAATTACCATCAGGGTGTATACCTCACCCCTGACGTCGTTGCCCACCTCTCAATTTTAAATACACTTAGTCATTGAGGGCTAGCAGGAGGGACCATGCGCTTACCTGCTGCTCCTTGGCAGGTAGCTCCATGCCCTCCTGGGTTTTAAATGCACCTTAGAACACACATGCATCAACACTACAATGAGCGGGTGGAGGGAGGTTTGGAGTCTTCTCCCACCCCCATTCTCTGCGGCCTGCTGGAGCGGGAGGGCTAGTAGGAGGAGTTGGCCGTCCGACTGCGGTCTGGGGTGTGGGGCCTCCCTGCTGCTGCGGAGTCGGGGCGGTCTGCCTCTCCCCACCGCAGGGAAAAGGGTAACACCACCTGGGTCTGGGTGCAGTTCCCCCCTCCAGGGGCAAGGGTACCTAGACCCGGTTTGTAGAGTACGCTTGGGGAGTGTGATTGTGTGTACAGCGTCTCTTTATGTCTGTCTCCACGTTGGTTGAGTGTGGAGTAAGTGTATATGAGAGCATGAGGGTGGGAATGGATGTTTGTGTCTGTGGGTGCCTGTATGTCTGTGTCTATATGTCAGGTTGGGTATCAGACGCCACCTCTCTGGGGACACCTCAGGCCCTCCAAGGTTTGGAGGCCTATCTCCACCCACCACCACTTCCCCTGCCGGTGGCGGACTCCCTCAGGTGTCGGTGTGTTGGTGGTTCTTTGTGTCTGGGGGTGGGCGTCCGGGTACACACCGGCTCACTCCTTGGCGGCCGCTTGTCGGGGCCTGGGGCCTGGGGCTCGCTCGGGCCCCTTTGGAGGTGGGGTGCCCCCGGCCTCTCGGCCTGGGGCTCGGTCACTCAGGCACAGCTGGGGGCCGGCGGAGCTCACGGGCGCGTCACTGCAACTCCCCCTGACTTCTGCTCCGCGGCTGCTGGGCGAGCCCTCATCTGGGACTCTCCTCAGCTCTTACTGGAACAGTGGCGCGGCTGCCCCTCTGTTGGTCTTCCATGGTCTCTTGTGTTCTGGGGGCCTCTGGATGTCTGGAGTTTTGATCTCCTCCATACCCGCTTCACACCCTGGAGGACGGGGCTGTGGCCCCCCCACACTCCCTAGCAGATCATTACATGGAGAAACCTTTGGAATGCAAGCATGCTGATCCACACAGGTATGCACACATGGGTATTCACAGATGCGGACTAAAGCTTTCTTGGCTGCTACCTCAAAGCACACTGTGCGCTGTCTATCTTGCGTGCTGCACAATATCGTTTATTATTTAGTAAATATTGATATCTATGACTAGCTAGTTTATTGTGATGGTGCTTTGTTTTCTCTATTATTATTTTGCTCTTTGTTGTTTGCTGTCTCCTCTGTTTGTTTTTTTTGTTTGTTTGTTTTTTTCTCCATACAGGTGACCCAGGAGTTCTTTTTTTTTTTTCTCTCTCTTCCCCCCCCTTCTCACCGTCTCTTCTCCCCTTTGGTTTTCTTTCTTTCTCTCCCCCTCTTTCTCTCATTCATTCCCCCTGTCCTATTTATTAAAAAAAAAAAAAAAAAAAAAAAAAAAGACAAAGGATGAACTGAAGCTCTGCCATCACGTAATGTCGCATACTGCTGTTTCTGATGTCATTTAGGCAAAAAAAAAAAAAAAAAAAAAAAAAAAAAAGACTGGTTTCAGCTTTCGAGCATAATGTCCATACCTGCCGTGGCTATTATTGTAGCAGTGGATTGTGGGCAGCTGTATAACATCTGGATCCAAATCAAAAAGTTCCCCCAGTTCACTTTTACTTTGCTAAATTCATCTCTTTAATCTCAGATGCTCTTCTTAAACGAGCTATACGCAGCAAGAGTAAGCAGACTACATGTACACCTATCAGCCAGAATATTACAACTGCAGACTTGGTGTGAATAACACTGATTATCTGAATATAATGCGAGATAGAGTATCATACGTGAGATCTAAGGGAAAAACAAGACTTAATAAACCTTCAGCTTACTGTATATGCTTGCAAACAATTTGACACCTAATACCTCAGGACACCTTTACACACTTTTTGGAATCAGTGCATTGACTTATGAAAGTTTTGGCAGCATGACTAGTTGTTGAGGTAAGTGATAGATTATAATTTTTAAACCTGTCTGTATGGTGCACGAGTGATGTAGAATGAAGTTGCACTTGCAGAGCTAATCCTTAGTTCTAAAGAAAGTGATAAAGAGCTGCACCTTAAACCAGTTCTGCTTTGCCCTATACCTTAGCCTTTCTTTGAACAACAACGTTAGCTGTAGACAGATACACTTGTAACGTTGCAATAGGGATGAAACAGATATGTCAGTTTCACTCTGCTACATCTTTTTTTTGAGTGAAATCTCATCATTTAAATAAAAATGTAGAGATATGCTAAAGAAAACATTTGTGTAGATGGACTATTGTCATCACACCCCTGTGAGCAGTCAGCAGCGCTACATTTCGATGTGTAAAATGTACCGAAGACCTTGACTACTGCTTTGAACTCAAGCATGAAGAATGTTTTGGTTCTTCCTTTGATTGTTGGTTTTACCTGAGAAATCATCTTTGTGGGTCTGTGTTTGTCTGAGCCTTTAACAGACTGAGCGCACAGCTGTCATTTGGCTCAGCAGAGTCAGAATGTTCCTCACTGATACAGCAAAATCAAAAGGATGGGAAAAAAGTGGACAGCCGAGGGACCGAATCCTCAGTGCAAAATACCTACAGACCACAATGGAGAGAAATGAGTGGGATTGTATTGTACTGTGCTGCAGTCATCTCCAGACACTGAATCACCTCACAGTTTGCAGATTCATGATTCATGCTTCCTGTACTGGGTCCTTAAAAACATTGTCACCAAGTCTAAACAGGCACCCAGAGAGAGCACCATACTGTACTTTTACACAGATATTTGTAGGCTTTTTGTACCACACATCATGTTCTCCTACAGTTTCATATGGCTTAGAAATGAAGACAGATTTCAACTGGCTCATTTGAAAAACAGATATCAGTGAGCAATCCATCAATAAGAATGACAGAAATCATTAAGCCATATGTTTTCCTTCCAGCGTCTGACAGTAAGTGGCAACACACCTGCTGTCAGTTTTGGATAGTAGGCAAACAAAGCATTTATTTTCAAGTGCTATACTTTATTATGGTATTCCGCTGCCTACCACATTTATCTTAAAACTGTTGTTATAATCTTGCTATACTCATCATATGTGTCACACAACAAGCTTAAAGAATTCTTGAAATATTGTAGATTACATTACTAATCGGTAGATAGTGCGTAAAATTGCTATGGCACTCAGCTTGGAGCGCTAAGTGCCTCTGCCATGATGCTTGTACTACAAACTAGAGCAATTTATAAAATATGGGGGGAAAAGTGTATTTATTTTTAAGTGCATTGTATTGAGAAGAAAACAGCATTAGGAAAACTGCAATATAATCATTTCATTTTAAGTTCTGTGGAAAGACAGCTCAGTCTGCTTAATGGATTTGAAAAGATGACTTATTTTACTTACTTTTATAACCTGTTGAAAGATCAGTATGCTTTAAACACAAATTAAAATTGGGATAATTTGAATATTTACTTAGAAATATATTGAAACAGCATAGAAAATCTACACTGTGTCTACAGTCCCTGTAGGATTAGTAAATTCCTCTTTGAATAGTCAGTGGCATGTGCCGCAGCCTGAGGTGAAAGCACTTGAGCCGGTGAGGATAAAAGAGGGAGGAGAGGGGCAGGGAGGCAGGATAGGATAGCAGAGCAAGTGGCCACTGTTGGTGCAGACGCTGCAGGAGTTCACAATGGGGTCAGTAACAGCGTCCGGCAGTTTGGATGTTTTTGTCGTTTGCTTTCTTCTGCCCTCGTTTAACTCAGCAAACTGGATCATGGCAGAGACACCGGAGCTCCGGATTTTCCCCACCACCGGTAAACACAATTAGCGTTGTGAGAGAAGTCAGGTGGCCACAAGGGACAGTTTCCAGTAGAGAGTGATCAATTTACACACATTTTAGATTGGTTAAGTGCAGCTGTGAAGTGGGTGTTTGAAAGGACAGGTTCAGTTATAAAGGTTCAAATTTTTTATCTAGTAGTTAGAAGTAAAATGTAAATTTCTGCTGACTACTAAACTCTATATTAAATGTGGCATTAGCTTAAATTGAATTAAACAGGCTTCTCTTTAACTTTTTCTTAAAATGTTTTTAGATCTAATATCAGTAAATTAAGTCAGTAAGATGTGAAGTTGATGATCAACAGATCAAAGTCAGCAGTGCAGTAAAATTTTCTCATGATACAGCCTAACAAATAAAGATTTAAGGTGGTCAGCCCCAGTTTAGATTATTATATAGCATTTATTTTAGCTTGTCTAAGTGCTAAAAGTAAGGAGAATTGGGAATACGTTCAGTTAACTGTTTTACTTGAGTTAACATAAGAAGTAGACACATTCTTAGCGTTTATTTATAGCA